CAAAACTCAATCAATAAATGGGCCAAGGACCTGAAGAGACACCTCTCTGAAGATGATGTAAATCAATCAACAAATACATTAAAAAATGTTCATCATCATTAACTAGGGTCATTTTTAACCTGCTTTGTGTTAGAGTACAAATAGGAGAAATAATGAATCTACTTCAGTGCAGGAAGGGAGAAGGGAAATCACGTTCACTGGTCATATTTAATACTGTGGTCTAGGCATTTTGATATGTTATTTCAGTTAAATCTTTCTTTAGCTTTGTATAGTAGAGTGATTTCTATTTTATAGRTAAAGAGACTGAGGCCCAGAAGGGTTAAGAAGGCTGCTCATAAATGGCACAGCTAACATACAAGCCAAGGCATATCTAGCCCCACAGTCCCAGCCATTCATCTTGGATGGAATCCAAATGTCAAATCATCCAGCCTGTATTTTGCCCATGTAGGAACCACCGAGAAGCACCCAGCTCTGTAATGTCATGAGGAGTTTACCTGGTGTTGACAGTGCAGGTGCCAGAGGTATAGATTTCTGTGTCCTTTGTGATAACAGGGACAGGAAACGGTGGGMTCTGAGATAAGTCAATTAGGGTAGAAACCTGTCCAAAACAAACGGCAGGTGATTACTGGGAAGGACTGCAGCTGACAGCCTGACCTGGCAAGCAGTGGAACAGAGTGGCCTATTTTGTGCCAGTGTGGTCAGAAGTGCTTATTAAGCTACCAATTTATGCCCTGCTGTATAACATGAAAAAAAGAAAACTGGGAGAAAGGACCTTAAATATACCTGTTCCCAGACAGTGGTGATATTCTTGATGTTCTATTAGAATCAGGATGTTTAGTTCCCTATGAGGCATCTTTGTGAATATTCTGCTCTCTCTTTGCCATTAAGTTGTTAGCTCCTTGGAAACAGTGACCTTCCTATGGATCTTTGCAGTCCTTACTGTACCCATTATATCCCTCCTGTTTAATATTTTCTGAGTTAGTTTTGAATGARTGAATAATTCAGATTTACTGAATTTCATTCAATCTGGATGAAAGATACATCTAGTAGGTTTCTGCTACTTATGTGTCCTTGGATAAAAATGCCTCTATGTATTTGGGGAAGGTSATTCTTTGTGAGGCCTTTGTGTAGCTGTTGAACCAGTGCACAGGAAAGATCCCACCCCTCAGCCCTTAGCYAGCCAAATGGCAGTAGCTAGCTCTTCCTCATCTGATTCTCCCACTTAAATCCCATGTCTAATTCAAATAGTATCTGAAGTGTGGTTTTAACTTTGCTTGCCTCCTTTTGGTAGGCATAGCTCTRGATAGGTCCTAACTTGTGGAAAACATTCTGAAATGAAAACAAATGCCACCAGTCTGCTCTAATTAGTTGAGAGTTCTGAAACAACGTCCAATCAGAATTGAACTTCAGAGTGTAAGTCTAAATTGTCATTGTTATTGTGAGATTTCCCTAATAGGAAACAAAACAACAATAACAACAACAACAAAAAAAAATACTTCTAATCCTCCCCCAAGTGCTTCCTCTTGATATCTGGAAACCACTTAATTTGTCAAATTGTAGGATAGTCAACCTGTTTACTTGGCTCTTGAAATTGAATGARTGAGCTTGTGTGGTTAAGCACACAGTGGAACCCTGTGTTTTCCTGAACTCAATAGGGAACCCACCATAGCCCTTCCCACACACTTTCATATGCCCACTTTCCCTGGAGAGGATTCCCAGCTACACAATTTAAAAAATTACTATTATTATTATTATTAGTAGTAGTAGTAGTAATAATAACCAGCTACACAATTTAAAAAAATAGTACTAGTAGTAGTAGTACTAGTAGTAGTAGTAGTAGTAGTAATAACAGCAACAACTACAATGACTTTCAGCCTTCCTCAGCCATTGTAATTATGATGGTAATCTTGATGTTCATATGAGAATTAAGTCATTCAGCATGAGAACCCACAGCTCTTGATGTAGGTGTTTCCTTCCTTTACTCTCGGCCAAGGTTATATGTGAAAACTGAGTATTTCCCTGAGGAGCCCTCTGATAAACAGACTTGGTAATGTGGGATGAGTAAGTCCAGCTGAAAAAAATAATTCTAAATAGTATTTCTCTGATSATGGTATAATCAAACAAAAAATTTGTCCCTCTCCTTTTTCTGAGTCAAGCATGGTAGAAAACACAGTTCCAATATGCATAAAAACAGATTCTAACCATGTCTACAGGGGTTCTTTTATTATCTCAGGCCACTAAGCATTAGTCTACCAAATAACCGGAGCAGAAACCTCATCTGATGAGATGCAGGATAGGTGTGGCTGCAAATGATGTTGAAAATACAGATTT